AAACTCGCTTTCTCTGGCATCTTGCCACTGCATTGGTGTAGATGAGAGATTGAGCTCGAGCTAGCTCAAATAAAGGCTCTTTGCTTTTGCATCGGTGTTGGCTCCTTGGTGGTCTTCTGGGATTCACAACTTTGGGCACAACAAGAACAATTCTTGCAGGACTGTCTGTAAGTCTGGGGAAAGGAAATCCCGGGGCAAAATACCTCTAAAAACCAAAATCAGTCAAAGGGAGAAATAAAATTTAAAACCTGTTTATTCTCTCAAACTGCAGTCACGAGCCATCTTTCTCCTCTGCTCTGGAAGAAGCCAGCAGAGCAAACAAGCCAGCCAGCCCCCTCCCCTTAATGTCTCAGGCTCAGACACGCCCTTGGTTGCCCAGGTAATTACCCATTGATATGGAGATGAACTTCTCTCCCCCCTTGAGGACAGGCAAATACACTAAAGCCAGGCGAGATATTCTGGAGATGTTACAATTTTACCCACACTGTCCTTGAAGATTTGCGGCACCACCTCCCCATCCCCCCACCGGTGCTGGTGTTGGGGGGAAGTTGGTTCGGAGACCCAGGGAAGTCAGAGTACAAGGTGAGGAAAGAATTTATTACATTGTGAGTGTCAGGGAATGACAGAACAGAATCATAAAGGAAGTTCATTGAACATCTACTTAGCATGGGGGACATCCCCTGCTAACTCCTTAAGGGAGTGTATCACCTGGTGTCCAGTGTCTGCTTGGATCTGCATGGTGTGGGAACTGAGTCCCTACCACCCTGGGATTTGGGGGAGCTGCAAAGCCCTGAATGGAGTGAGATTATGTTCTGCAAACTTCTTATAGGCAGAGGAGGGAGACTTTCAGGCAGGCTACCAAAGAGCATGACTGTAAGCTGCAATTCCATCCGGTCACCCAGGCAATGGTAATTTGCAAGCCCAGATCTAGGCTCTCCGCAGCCCCCTCCCTGCTTATCTGAAATAAGACAGGGAAAGTGAAGGTTTGAGCTGAAATTCGGAGGATTAGAATGAAAAAGCAAGTAACAAAGACATTTACCACTTGAAAAGCACAGAGACAAAACTAGGGTCTGAGGTTTCACAGGCGGTTGAGGACTTTCAAAGGGCTAGGGGTGTGGACTTGTTAAGTGGTCCCAGAATGTTCATACTTGATGAGTCATTAAATCTCTTTTCTTAGTAATCCTCTAGGTAATTCTGCAAAATTAACATAAGAAATTTACTGCTGATTTCTTCCCAGAATAGCAGCTAACTGGTCTGGGGGCATATCAGTTAAGACCACCTGCCCTGCCCCAGGGTGGGCCAAGTTATTGTTAGGTTGCTAGACAGTATGTTAAGCTTACTTGCTAAATTAGTTGCCCAGTTTGCAAAATCACCTCATCAGGTCTGAAGGAGGAAAGACAGCACATAGGCCTGGGCCTTTTAGCATACTAAAGTGAATCTTACACATGATTATAAATGATTAGCATAATAAAAACATGTGCTACTCTTCTTTATCTGGGGAATATTAACTGATCTCACTGAAGAATGACCCTAGAGCTTAATGTTTGACATAGAATTTTGGTAGGGGGTTTCCTTGCATGTAGTTATGTTGCTCTGACTGCAAATATCTTGCCTTGGTTTTTCCGGAGGCCCTCACCCTACTCTGACTACACCCACAGTCCCTGTCTCACTTTTACCCACCCCCTACACCCACCCCAACTCCTCCCCCTCATTAACCACTAGTGACTTCTAAGTGTCTATGAGTCTACTTCTGTTTTGTTTCTTCTGTTTTGCTTTGTTTTTATATTCCACAAATAAGTGAAATCATATAGTATTTGTCTTTCTCCACCTAGCTTATTTCACTGAGCATAATACCCTCTAGATACATCTATGTTATTGCAAATGGCAGGATTTATTATTTTTTTATGGCTGATTAATATTCCATTGTGTATATGTACCACATCTCCTATATCCATCTATTGATGGACCCTTAGGTTGCTAATATCCTGGCTTTCTTATGCTCATGATCATGGGACTCTTTCTGGAACTTGGCAGAGTATAATCAACATACCAATAAATGGTTCTTTCTCAGCTAGTTAGGATAGGTCATACCATCTAATTAGGTTCTTTGTGATTCAAAAATGCATGCTGTCTCACACCCTCTATTTGAGTGGGTGAGTAGGTGGTACATTCAGTTTATCTTGGCTCTTAAGGCAGTGCTTCCTGCCTGAGGGCCTAAGAGATCAGAAGCTTGCCCTTGCACCAGGCAGTAAGTTCTGCCTTAGAGGAACCATGCTAAAAATGGTCTAATTGTCAGTGGAGATGAGACTGCCTTGCAGAGGTGGATGGGTACAAAGCTCCTGCAGTTCTGGAACAATGGCTGAGACAGTGTTTGGCGAAGGCAAATAACCTCCTTTGTTTTTCTTCTAATGGCAATATTTGTTTGTTTTAAACATAAAAGTACAGTATACTTACTGAGAAAAAGAAAATTCATATATAGGAAAAGGTGAAAGTCCACTCCCCCTTGGTCTCCCACTTCCCCATTCCTCCCCCAATAGTTAACATTTTCCATTCAAATCATTTTCTGTATATTTACAGACAGACAGGAAATAGACTTTTCATGGGAAAGTCCAGACATTGAATGGATGGATGGATAGATAGAAAGGAAGAGATTTTTTTTAAAGGGGCTCCTACTGTATATGCTGTTTTAGAACTTGCTTTTTCACTTAACCATCATCATGAATATCTTTTCAGGACAGTATAAATAATTCTACTGTGTTCTTTTTAATGGCTGCATAGAGTTCCTTTCCAGGGCAGTTCAGACTATGGTTTATTTATCAATTTCCCTATTTATGGATATTTGGCTTGTTTCTAATTTTTTACTGTGGTAAATAGAGTTGCTGAACAACATCCACCTTTATCCTTGCTCACTTGAGTTCATATTTCTGTGGGTAGATTTCTAGAATAGGATGGATAGAACAAAGGGTTGTACATTTCACAAATTGCCACACTGCTCTCCAAAAAGATTGTACCAACTGATACTCCCACCAAAAGAAAGTAAGAGGGCCTGTTTTTTCACACTTAACCAGTCACTGGGTGTTACCTTTTAGTTTGTCTGGCCTATCTTGAAAGACTGCATAAAAAGTTTCCTCCAAATTACCTTGGAAAGGTTGTAAATATAAGAGGCTGCCATAATTCTGTAGTGACTCCTTGATCATTGTGGAGAAGAGATGTGGTCATTTCTTTGAAGACTCCCTGCCCTCTGATTTGTGAGGTGACACTTGTCCCCATGAGGCAGTTGGCCCTTTTCCAGAGAAATTAAGCCAAGAACACAGTTTTGCAAATATCTGGTGATTGTTTCCACCTCCCCTGCACACGGTCAGCAAAGCACTAGGAAACTCCTGGTGAGAGCAGATGGTCAGCGTAGGTGTGTCCTGACAGGTAATCCCACCCCTGCCTTGCCACCCCTGCAGCTGATGAGGATCTCCCACCTAGGCCTATTATTAGCTCTGCCTATTCTTAGCCTCATGGCTGATCTTGCCTGGACATTTGGTCTGGAGATTCTCTTAGGAAGAAGAGCAAGAGACATTGGTACTGTGGAGAGGGGCCAAAGAAGGGTTGTGAGCAGCATTTGTGAGTCTTCTTGGAGGAGGCATGATAGACATTTACATTTGCAACAAAAGGCAGGTATGAGGGCTGCTTGTGAACAAGAAAAGATTGGTGGAGCCTCTTCCCAGATGCTGTTGACTTGGGCACTCTGCAATTCCAAGCATCATCAAGAAGGGGACTAGAAATATTCATTCATCAAATAGTACATCTGGGAGGGACCTTGACAGTATTGCAAGATAAATTATAACCGAAATAAGCAGGCGACGAGAGGCAACAAAGGGCCAGGCAGTTTATTTGAGCGCAATCCCGGGTGATGTTCCCCAGTCTGGCTAGTTACAGGCCGGGGAAGTCACGCGCAACCAGACAGGTGGGGAGTTTTTAAAGAAGGTAGTGGGGGGCAGAGCTTAGATTTACAGTGGCGCAAGGATTGGCTAGCCTAAGGCACATTTTTCAGGTTGGGAGGGGGCAGCAGCCGGGGACTTTGGCACGTCATCAGTGTCCGACGTGCTCGCTCCTCCCTCCAGTGCTTCCAACCTTACAAGTATTAATTCTAATGTTTTACTTTATTTTTCACTCTTTTTTAATGAAAATTTAAAAACCTATAGAAAAATAGAAGAATGTAATGAACACTCACTTCCCACCATTTAATTTAACCTAAAAATAAAGTGTTAACGTTTTGCTGTTTGCTTTATCTATTTTTATGCTAAACTATTTGAAGGAAAACACATACTATGACTTTTTACCCTTAAATACTTTAAATGAATCACTAACCTTTAGTTCCTGTGATTTTAAAAACTTTTCTTTTTCAAAGAAGCAGATCTCTTTTATTAAATGAACTACCATGTGGATGTCCAACATTGTGCTTCTGACATATCCTAGTAGAGATGTCAAGTAGGCAGTTGAGTGTGTGAGTCTGGAGCTCTGGACTCAAGCTGGAAGTGGAGATGTGGGTTTGGGATATGTTTAAAGCCACAGAACTAAATGAGGTCAGTAAGACAGTGAGTGGAGTGGGGAGAGGAGGCCCAGGGCACTCGGGCATAGGGGAGAAGCCAACAGGGGGCGCCAAGAGAGCGGCCTGTGGACTATGGGAAGCAGGATGAAGGGCGCCTCTGGGGCCAAAAGAAGAAAGTGTTCTGGGAAGGAGTAATAGCTGTGTCTGCTGTTAAGAGTCTGAGAGAGCTGAGGGCAGGGAACTGACCACTGGCTTAGTACAGATGGAGAACCAAGGCCCAGTAAAGTGGAAACTAGCAGCACCTGTCTAACATCCAGGCCTCCCAGACTACAGATGAGGAAACTGAGGGCTACAGAGGCTGGGTGCCTTGCCTGAGATCGCACAGCTGGGAGTAGAGCCCAGGCCCTCTGGTGCCCCCAAGGGTGGGCTTTACCTATCTAACACCAGCCTTCTCCCACAGGCCGCAAGCTGGACCCTCAGGCCTCAGTTTCTTACTGGTGATTCCTCTGCAAAGGATTACCAAGTACCCATTGCTGCTGCAGAAAATCCTGGAGAACACACTCCCTGATGCCAGGGCCTACCCTGTCCTGCAAGGGGCTGCCTCCGCCCTCCGGGACGTGAACACTAACATCAATGAGTACAAGATGCGCAAGGAAGTGGGTAAGGACTGGGGAACTGAGGGGATGCACCAGTGAGAATGCGTCCAGTTACAAAGAGCTCACCTCAAACTGGCTTCACCAGTGAATGCAATGTAGGACTCATGTAACCTCAAGCCCAGAGGGAACAAAGGCTTAGGAAGGGTTTGATCAGGGTGCTGGCTCTATTTCCCTGTAGTTCTCTCATCTCTGCTCTCTCCTGTGTGTCAGCTTAGTTTTCAGGCTGACCTCCCTCACAGTAGTAAACGCCTATTGATGTTTCAACATTCACATTTACATATCACACCTTCCAAAATAAAGTAGGGCCTTGTTCTCCTCAGCCACAAAAATTAAATTGGAGCTTCACTCTGGTAGGACCCAGATGGGTCTTCTGCCCTCCTAGAACCTGTTGCCGTGGTTAGGAACATGCCCTGAGCTTGTAGGTATAGCCAGGGCTGTGACCCCCTTCTTTGAACCAATCACTGTGGCCGGAGCAGTAGAATTATATGAACTGGCTTCTCCCAGTCAGCACTCAGCCCTTGAACTGAGATGAATCCTGTCCAAACCACATGGCTGCTTTACTGTGGAGGAGAGATGAGTACTGAGGAGGCAAAGAGCTGTACATACCTGGTGGGGGGTACAGCAGGAGGGGTGGGAACTCTGCCTCTCAGGTTGTTAAAATAGGGAGGCTTGGAAAATGAAGCAGTGTCCCAAATAGAGAGAAATCGAGTTGCACGACTGCGGCAGTGTAATAATGGTATAGTTAATGTTTACTAAGGGGTAACTGACACATTTTTCATTCATTACCTTGTTTGAGCCTTGTAGTAGTCCTCTGAAGTTGTCCCCATTAGTCCCGTTTCACAGTTGGGTAAAATGAGAGCTTACTTAGGTCGCTTGTTCCAGATCACACAGCTGGTAAGGCACAGAGCCGATTTCAAACTTAGGCCTGTGGTCAGGTCACAGATTTGGGAAAAGGCCTTGAGGCAGGGGTGGGAAGCCTAGCCTGGCCAACATGAGTTGAGGACCTCAGGCAAATCACCTCTCGCTTGTTTTCTGTAGAAAGCACTCTCAGATTTACCACCTTCTGTGATCCTCCCAGCAGTGCTGCAAGGCAGCCGGCCTTATTCACAAATGAGGAAACTGAGGCCCAAGAAGTGGTGTCTTGCCAAAGGCAAGCAGGCAGGAAGCTGGTCAGTCAGGGCTCACACCTCAGTGTGAGAGGGGCTCGGAGTCCTGTGCTTTTCCTGTGACTCGAGGTCCTAATGGGTGTGACTGGTGCTTGAGAAGAGGCCCCAAGGGGGTGTCTAGCCAGGTGTGCCAGGGGCGCTTGCCTTCCTGGGTCAGCCTGGGGCCCCACGCCCTACCTCTCCTCTGTTGGTGCAGCCTCCAAGTACACCACGGTGGAGCAGCTGACGCTCCGGGAGCGGCTGTCTCGCATCAACACGCACACCCTCTCCAAAAAGACCACCCGGCTGAGCCAGCTGCTGAAGCAGGAGGCAGGGCTCGTGCCCAGGGTGAGCATGGGCCAGAGGAAGGGCCACATCCCAGTCATCCCAAGGAGCAAGGATGTGCAGCAGGTGGGCAGGGGACTTAGACTTGTTTCAGAGATAAGGAAACTGAGGCTAAGGGATCCAAGCGGCCTCCCAGCATTGCATAGCCAGCAGGAGGCATAAGTGGCACCTTGCTTGATTCCAAAGAGCCAAGGTAGTGCTTTCTCCACTGCATAGTGTGCCATACCTTCTGAGTATGTCTTTATGCAGACAGGAGGGCTAATCTCTGGGCCTGGGCAAGGAACCAGTCTTGAATAGCTACCAGTAGCAGCTCAGTAGTAGATTGATTACTTACTCTGAACCTGGCGTTACCTGAGCCATACAATGACACAGGTGTTGCTATTACCCCATTTGGCAGATAAAACAGGCTCAGAGAAGGTAAAACACTTGCCCAAGGTCACACACTTAGGAAGCAAGTGGGCTGGGATTATATGTCTGTGTGTCTGATTACAAAACCCTAAACTGCACTCAGTGCCTGTAACCATCCCACTCAGTTTTCTGGCTGGAGGGACTGGCTCTGATGGGCGGGGTCTATTGACAGGTGAGGACTTGGGCTGCCCATGTGAGGTGTAGACTGCCCCCATGTGGATATTCTTGACCCTCATAAGCATAACTACTTGCAGACAGAAAACAAGGAATTTGATGATTTAGAAGAGAGGTTCCACTGCGTGTCACTGTGTGTGACCGAGATGAAGAACAATGTGGCTGTTTACCTGGATAATCTGGAGGTGAGTATCCTGCAGTTAATAATGGGTGGGGCAGGCTGGTTTCCCCAGGCAAGTGTGGCCTATCAGACAAGCTGGCAAAGGTATAGCTGCAGGAAAAAAATGGAAGACGTCATCCAGTGGCTGGTGGTAAGCCAGAATAAGGGCCAGGGAGAAGCACTCCTTGTCTGAGTAGGGCAGTGGCTAAGCCTAGTCCCTCAGGAGATGAGGTTCCTACTGGGCAGGGTCAGAATTCACTTGGATCAGAGCCCTGCAGAGGGACCCTGCCAGTCCTGCACCTACAGCCCATGACAAACTTAGGTGCCTAAAGGGGCCAGGCAGGCAATAGTGAAGCAAGCGTGTGAGGTTTAATTTCTAACACGCTGTTAGGAGACTTCAGGAGAGTTAAATATATAAATAGTATTTGAAATTTGAATGACTGAGTGAACAAATCTAAACGGGAGCTATTACATGGCTCGGGGGTGCTGCTGTGGGAATGTGGAGCCAGTGTGGCATTTCTTCTGATTTTAAGGAAGAAAACTGGAAGTTCAGACTTAGGTGAAATGCATCCACGTGAACAACCAATTAAATAAAGATTTAAATATCATACAGGCCCAAGAAAATACATGTCTACAAACTGAATTCAGCTCACAGGAGTACCAGTTTTCATGCCTTTGCAGCTTGTCATTTCCTTGCTCTGGGACCCCCCTTCATTTTTGTCATTGATGCTGACTGATTCCATCTACTCTGTCCCTTTAATTTATTTTTATTTTATTTTGTTATCCTGAATCTATAATTACATAAAGAGCATTATGTTTACTAGGCTCCCCCCTTCACCAAGTCCCCCCCCACACCCCATTACAGTCACTCTCCATCCGTGTAGTAAGATGCTATAGAATCACTGCTTGTCTTCTCTGTGTTGTACAGCCCTCCCCGTGCCCCCCGCCAATTATACATGCTAATCATAAGGCCCCCTTTCTAATTCCCCACCCTTATCCCTCCCTTCCCACCCATCCTTCCCAGTCCCTTTCCCTTTGGTAACTGTTA